ACTTTTTTCTCCCTTTCTTCCTCGCTCTCTCCCTCCCGCTCTATCTGAAGATAAATGCAAAACTGTCCTCGAGTGAGAATAATAATAATAAAAAAATAATGCTCATTGTAGAAAACATCAGAACTTTTAGAACTATGTAATGCAAAAAGTGAAAGCAATTCTTAAGAGAGAATCAATCCAGCTTTTCCCTCCAACATGTATTTAAAACAAAATAAAACTGTAGTTGTTTTTAAAAAAGGATCATACAATGTTTAACCCAGCAATTTGCTTTTCTTGGTTAAGATTTTATTTGGTCTACTTAATTAATACGAGATCCATCACATCATTTTAAAAGGTTATATACACCCTGGCAGGTTTTGCTCAGTGGTTAGAGCATCAGCCTGCAGACTGAAGGGTCCCAGGTTCAATTTCCGGTCAAGGGCACAGCCCTTGCTGGGGTCTTGTGGGAGGCAACCAATCAATGTATCTCTCTCACATCGATGTTGCTCTTTCTCAAAAAATCAATGGAAAAATATCCTTGGGTGAGGATTAACAAAAATAAATAAATAAATGAATAAATAAATAAATGTTGCATAGTGTTCTATAGGAAAGATTTTTTACAATTATTTTACTTTGGTGAACATTCTTGCTCGCATATCCTTGTACACATGTGAAAGCATTTTGGGATATAAAATCTTAGGTACGGATTTGCTGGGTCAACAGGTACCTTAACAGGTGTATTAACATTTTCATTAGACTGTTCTTAAATTTTAAATCTTTAAAACTGGTCAGTGGCTTCAAACAGCACTGGCAATTCTTTGTTGCAAAGCCTCTCAAACAATAGTTACCAAGTCTAGATTTCTTAAACTCCTTTTTCAGGAGTGACTGAGATAGCAATTTCTGTTACAGGTTCACATACATTCTCAATTGGTCAGTGTTACAATTCTAAAGCATGTCAAAAAGATTTTCCATTTTTGGGGAGTGAGCTTTTGGATTTCTTTTTTTCAGATGATATTAACTTTAGGTATGTTTTAAGAGTTTCAAGTAGGATTTAGGAAGATAGATAAAATAAGACTAATACCCAATTCTTCCTATTTAAAAAAATCCTCACCTGAGGACATTTTTCCATTTTGTCTTCAGATTGGCGGGGGGAGGGGGAGAGACATCGACCTATTGCCTCCTGCCTGAACCGCAACCAAGGTCCGTGCCCTTGACCAGGATGAACTGAACCCGCAACTTTCTGGTCCACTGGCCGATGCGCTAACCGCTGACCCAAACCGACCAGGACCCCAATTCATCCTTCTTTCATCTGGATAGAACATGATGGTGCTCTTGGGACAACCACCTGGGTTATTAGCTGCAGGAGGCCATATCTGCCAATTCTCATCTACTTAGGGTATGAGTACTATTTCTAGCAGTTTTTCAGTATGTGTCACATTAAACCTAAGCCACTAATTCTGACTACACTTCCATTTTGAGAGTACAAAGAAGACAGAGCAAAATACCTGTAATAGCATCCTGCTGGACCACCCAATCTAAAGTGATTTTTGCTTCCTCTGGCCTCACAGATTTTCAAATGTCTGTGCTATTCATTAACTTGGCAATTTTCCTTTGGACTTCAAAAAAAGATACAAAAGGTCAGCTGGTGTGGATCAGTTGATTGAGCATCATCCCAAGTACCAAGAGGTCACCAGTTTGATTTCCAGTCAGTGCACATGCCCCAGTTGTGGGCTCACACCTCAAAAAGGGACATGCAGGGGGCAGCCAATCAATGTTCTTGCATCCATGTTTCTATCACTCTCTCCCTCTCCCTTCTTCTCTTTCTTAACAATAAATAAATAAATAAATATTTTTAAAAAAAGACACAAAAGTTAAACCATTTAAATTGTTTATATAAGGCGAATGACTAACTATATTCTCCCCACCATATTATATGCTTCATGGGAGGAGGGACTTTGGTTCACTGATGTTTCTGAGCATCTAGAACAGTATTTGGCCTATTTATTTGTTGAATAAATGATAAATTCTTGGAAGGCAGGAATCTTCTTATATTTTGCATACCCATAGTAAATATCAACTTGCTGATGAAAATTAAGGAAAGAATCTTCATTCAGTAACATAACTTACGACTTTCTTAGAAGCTAAATAAAATCCAAGAATCTTTCCAGCCTTAACTTTTAGGAAGTACTAGTTTTCAAAAATTAGAATCCAAATGTATATACATATATTCTAAAACTAGAGTAAGAATAATTGTACCTTCGATCTAGAAAGCAGTGTACTGAAAGCCTTCATTATAAAGATCAGAGTTGAGCATTAAATTACTTCGACCCCAAGCTGTGTTCTAGAAAGTCTCTTTTTAAAACAAAACAGAACCCAAACAAAAACATGGCATCAAGTTGTTCACTGGGAATGCCTCTGTAAGCCTTAACAAAAAATATGTATGTATACACACACACACACACACACACGCTTTTTTTTTTTTTAAATCCTCACCCAAGGACACTTTTCCATTTTTTGTTCAGATAGAGTGGGAGGGAGAGAAAGAGAGAGAAATATCGACGTGAAAGGGACACATGGAGTGGCTGCCACCCGCACGACCCAACCAGGGCCCGGGACAAACTGCAACCGAGGTACGAGGTACGTGCCCTTAGCGGGAACCAAACCCGAGTCTCTCTCAGGACCGCAGGCCAACGCTCTAACCGCTGAGCCAAACCGGCCAGGGCAACAAAATATTTTTTAATGTTACTGTATAAGCAAGAAAGCAAAGAAAATATTTGTACAGCACATTTTATATTCTAGACTTTGCCAATGGTGATATGACTAAGGAGAGGGATACCTGCCTTCACATTCACATCAAATGTGCAGTTCCTTGGATTTAAAGCCAATAAAAATAAAAGCAGTAAAAAAGTATAAAAAGGAGACTCAGAGTGAAAGAAGGATCCTTCTAGACCTAGTGCATATTTTGGATAATTCACATTTGGGGGGAATAAAGGCAGAAAAAGGGAGGAAAAAATGTACAAGAATAAGTTTTAGAACGTTACTTCAGAAAAAAAGTCCATCTTATAAGACACATTTTAATTCTAGTCTTTCAGTACTTATCTATGTCAGGCCACCTCTTACTGGATGTTCGGTTTCCTGTGTTGAGACTTAGAAAAATTACCTTGTGGTTAGAAAATAGCATATTCTCAAGACAGTTGACTGAAAAGACTATTTTTTGGCTTACTATTTTTTACAACAAATTTTACTTTATAAAGAAAGTGAATTAATCAGATTTGAGATGAACTCTCATTGGTAGAACTGTAGTGAATATATTTAGTTTGCTTAAAAAAGAAAATGGATCATCTCTGGAAAAGGATTTTATATATAAGCAACCGACAGAAAGAATAGGGCCTAAAATAAAGGAGAGTTTTTCATCTGTAGAAGGAAAAAAATTAAGAACACTGGAGTGAGGGCCGCTGATTTCATAAAACAGAGTAGTTAAAGGAAGGCACGTGCGCAAGTTAGACTAGAGAGCAAAGTCTGAAGAACATCAACAACAGAAACATTCTTGGGGAAAACTAAAGCCAGAAGCACTCCTATGGTTAATTTACTAAAACAAAACGGTCAACAAGTCTTCAACTTGCTAAGGCTTACATTGTTAGAGTCTAGTACACTTGTAGTACCAGAACATCAAGGAAAACAATTGCTCAAAAATTTTTTAAAAAGACACAGTATGGAAAAGACTGTAAAATAAAAATTAGAACATTCTTACTTGAGATAGATGAAAATAAAAAATGAAGTAGGAATTAAGGTAAGGAGATACTATTGGTTTCAATCACTCATGTGAGAAAGGGAAGAAGTATTAGGATTATACACCTTACAGCGAATGGAAAACAGTTATTCCTAAAAACTGTACAGTAACGTAAATTTCAACAATTGAGAAGTACTAATGAAAAATTTCTAAAAATTGTTTAACTAAAAATTTAACTTTGGCAGGCTATCACGGGGTACTATGAATATTATGCCTGTAATAGTTATGAATGTTAGATTTAAAAAACAAAATATGTATTATTTCTATCTTAAAAGGTGCTTTTGAAGCTACCAAAGACCATCCTCTGCCTATTCTATTTAAGGGCTCGTGGAAAAACGAATGAAGTAGTCACTATCCACGCCAAAACAAATGCCCGCGAAGTTCCACATGTCACTTCACAGGAGTGCCATCTACTCGAGTGCAAGGTGCACGGGTCTCTCTCAGGGACGGGGCAAGCTCGGCCGGGCTCGGGAACGTGTTCCGAGGGGGGGAGGCCCCGCTCAGGTCCCTCATTTCACGGGCACAAGAAATCACCCGGAAGCCCACCTTCACCTGCTCAAGGAGTCACAGAAAGAGGCCGACGGACCCTTGACTCCGGCGATAACCTGACCCTCGGTCCTATTGCGGGGGAGCAGATGTCATCATGGGTGGGGCCGCCGCGCGGAGCGCTGGCCATTTTCGTACCACCCCCTGGGCACTTTCCGCGGGAGAGAGAGGCTCCCCGAAGGTACGGGCAGCGTTCCCCACGGTCCGTTCCGACTAGAAGGGAGGAGGTTACGATGCGGCCGTGGTGCACGCCAGGACCGCAGGCTTAAGTTCTACTCCGGGAAAGAGACCGTCCCTCTCCCCCTCCCCTGCCGGCTCCTCCTCGGGACACTTGGATGAGTCTTTCTTTCCCTCCTCCCCACGCCGAGGTGAGGCGGCACGCAAGCCCGGGACGCCTGTTTTTCTCTTCGCGCGGAGCGAACTCGACGGGTAGGAACCCCGGGGCGCAGGAGGGGGAGGCGGCGCTGTGGGGAGGCAGAGAAAGCTCGCCGGGGACGAGCGGGGCCGGGGTCGGGAAGGGACTACCGAGGAGGCCGAGGTGACGAGGGAAATCGGCCGGCTGGGAGCTGGGACCGCGCGCTTCCGGCGGGCCACAGTCAGCCTCGGCCTAGCGCGGCTGGCGTTCCGGGCCCCGCCGGGGCGGGTAGGTAGCCGGCAGAGGGGGTGAACCGCGGCTCGCACTTGCCTGGGACCGGGTGACCAATAACTGGTGGTAGTCTTTGCTCGGCGCCGGGCCTTGTCCTACAATTTCGAACAGAGTCTCCGGCAGCCACGACGCCATCTTGGGACGCCACCGTCGTCGCTAAGACAACCAGGAAGGGGCGGGGCTTGGTTGGGGTCAGGAGGCCAAAGCCCTAGTTTCAATCGAGCTCCGCTTTTGAGCCGACAGGGGGTTTCTAACTTGGGGTGGTGTCCCCTTTTCCAAAGGGCTCAGGGAACTGGGGTCCGTGAGATTTCCACCTCAGGTCTCCGGTGACCCGAAAGGGAATTAGTTCCTGCTACCACGGAGGGGCGGGGGGTGACCCCGGCGGAGGGATACCGAGTGAAGCCGCACATTCCCCTTCCTGGTCCCTGGAAGGGGTCGGGAGGAGAGCGCAGGCCGCTGGGGACGTCGGTCCGGGCGTTAGGGGAGGGAGGGGCGATGCGATGGGCCGCGAGTAGGCAGCGGCGCCCGTCCCGCGGACCCGCCCGGCCGCGCAGTCGGAGGGCAAAGTAGTTCCCGGAGGGTGTTGGAACGGGCGGGGAGGGAGGCGGCGCGGGCGGAGGCGCACTCCGGCCGCGGTGCTGCGGCTCAGCTGATAATTGAAGGGACCCGAGGAGCCGCCGCCGCTGCCGCTGCCGCCGTCGGGGGGGTGGGGGGAGCGAGTGGAAGTTACTGCCGCGCCACCGAGTCCGGACCGGAGACTTTGGGGCTCAACTAGGTAACTGGGGTGCAGTTGCGAGGTGTGGGGCCAGGCCTGGGGGGAGGGGGATGTGCCGAGAGATTTGGGATGGGGGGTGACGGAGGGGAGGAGCTGGAACAGAAAGTCCCAGGAAGCCCGGTTGTGTCATCGCCGAGAATCGGACCCCGCTCGGCCTGCTCCCGGCGGCAGCAGGGCCGCGGAAGGACCGGGCCGGGGGTTGACTGGCGAGGCGCTCGAGGGAGACGGCGGCTGGGGGAACCTGGCCCGGTCGGGAGCGGGGGTCGCCGGGTCCCCCCTCCGGCCCCTCGCGATGAGCAGGGCCCTTGACGGAACTGGGGTGAGGCGTGCGGGTGTTAGGGGGCCGGGGGGGCCGGAAGTGAGCTTTGGAGCTTGGAGGGCGTCTAGGAAGAGAGAAAGTGGGGGGCCGGAAGTGCAGGTGGGGGGTGTGAAGACGGTAAGGGTTCCCCGGAAATGGGATGGGGGCCCGGAAACCGGGAGAGGGGAGGCTCCAGGGCCGGGGACGGCCCGGAAATGGAAACTAGGGAGCAGCTCGAGTGACAACAGTTGTGGGAAGCGAGGGTCTGAGGAGGGAGAGGCCGGAGTGACTTTAGACCGCAGTAAGGGGTTCCTGCCGGGGACGGTTGGGGGCGGCGAGGCCGGAGCCGGGGTCCCGGCCTGGCAGTGCCAGTCGTGGGAAGTTGAAGCCGCGGGAGGGGACGGCGAGGCGGGCACGGGCGGGCAGGGGGCATGGGGAGAGGCCGAGCAACTTAGCTGGGGGAGCGGGCATCCTTGTAAATAGACCGGAATGGAAATTGGGGGGAGGGTCCGGGACTTGGGGGCGGTGGACCAATTGTCACTCCAGTCGTATTAGCATTCAGAGCCAGCCAGGCGATTAATTCATCTGTGGGTTACATAAAACCTGTTACAACGTTTACCCGTCCGGCCCCCCCGCGCTCCTCCGCCCTTCCTCCCAGTGAGGGGGTTTCTCGTTCAGAAACAAGTGTGGGGGGTCAAACGACGAAGGCTGTCAGGCCCCCAGCCCTGCCCTCCGGGGCAGAGACAGTCACGACGGTTCAAACGCACAGGCCAGTCGGGGAAATAAGTTAGACAAACTCCTGCGGGGGCCGGAGGGAGTCGGTTACCCGGTGTGGCGAGGCGAGAACGGAAGGGGTTGCTCCCAAACCCTAGACTGACAGATTGTTTGCGATAAGGCCGTTTGTCTGCGGAGCGTGAGCTGCAGCAACGTGCCTGGCGCTGGGTCTGGTTTAATTGCTTCGTTAGTTGATTGGGGGAGGGACTGTGTCAGTGTGTAAACATTCGTGTGTGCCCGGTAGTGGGGGGGGCGTTTAATAGCGCCGCGAATCGGTCCCGAGTGGACTTCCAACTGCTCCCCTGCTGTCTCCCTTCCTGGTCCACGTTCCCCGGTCTTGCCTGGGCTGCCAAATCACCCGATCCCCGGGCTTGACTCCGTTTTGTAGGCCCTTCAGTGGTGTGTGTAACTTTCTAGTCCTTTCCAGTCTCTCGAGATATTTTTGGCATTTTATTTTTTAGAGACTGAGTTGAGGCTCAGAGGCTCCTCTCTGAAAACAAAACAAAAATATATACGGGATAGACAGTTGAAAGAGCTATTGAGTGGGGTGAAAAACCGAGTCTTGGAACAAAGGTCCTAGTTGTTAGAGAAAAAAAGGCAGGAGGCCTATATGTGAGGCCTGTGTGTGCTGAATTTACACAGGGTGTGGGGGGTTGGAGAAGGGACCCAGTTAGGGTTGAGGAGTGGAATTATCAGAGGTTTAGAGAGAATAAATTACAAAGGGTGTTAATGGGGCTTATTTTTATATTTACATCATGCAAGGAGGTTAATATTAGGTGTGAATTTCAGAGTAAACTGTCTAATTCTTTTGAAACGTCCATTCCTGCTCTATGTTCAGCCTCAGGAATATAGAATTAATGTGGCTTTTTAAATCATCTTTGTGAGATTGTTTGGGGAGTTTTTATGTCATTTATTTTAAGCTTAAGAGAGTTCATTAACATAGTTGGGGTTTGTGGGCTTTTTTCACAGCTGCCTTTCTGTGACTGCCAGTATCCATAAGAATTGAATAACTGTAATTAAGATTATCATTTTTTCCATTTGCTCCCCAGTTTTACAGGAGTTTGAGAGGTTTTTAAATCTGCTCAGCTGACATTTACTATTTAGTTTGTGTTCATGAACAGACTTTTTGTTTCAGTTTTTAATTTACTTTCTAAAAGTTTTAGAACACTTGATGCAGTTAGAGTTCTAGAAGGTGCTAAACTAAAATAATTATGTTTAAAAAACGAAGGGGATGCTAGGCCAGGGTAAAATCAGTGCTTTCTAGCAAAGTAAATTTGAAGTAATGTTTATATTCCCATCCTAACTTTTAAGGTTACTGGATTTATGTTCCCATTTTACTTTTCTAATCCTCACCTGAGGATATTTTTCTATTTATCTTCAGATAGAGTGGGAGGGAGGGAGAGAGAAACATCTACACGAGAGGGGCACGGCTGGTTGCCTCTTGCACAACCCCAACCAGGGCCAGGGACCAACTACAACCGAGGAACATGCCCTTGACTGGAATCGAATCCACGACTCATTGGTCTGTGGCTCTACCGCTGAGCCGCACTGGCCAGGGCTTATGATCCTATTTTAAAGACATCATCCTAGCAAAGAAACACATACAGGTTTAGGAATTCATATCCCAACAGTAAGTACCTGTTTGACCTTGAGCTATTCACTTCCTTTATCAGGTCTGTACTTATTTTACCTTTAAAATGAGAATAATCACTATCTTACCTCACTGGGTGGTTGTGAGACTCAGTGACTTGGTTGTGAAAACTACAAACTGTTAAATGTAAAATATTAATAATTTCAGAAAATTACATTAGCTCTTTTGAGGTCATTAAAAAAAAGATAACAATTTCTGCCCTGGCCAGTGTGGCTTAGTTGGAGCATCCTGTACCCCAGAAGGTGGTGGATTCTTTTACTGGTCAGGGCACATACCCATGTTGTGGGTTTGTCAGGGAGCGTGAGGGAGGCAACCAATTGATGTTTGTCTCTCACATCAATTTTTTTTTTCTCTCTCTCTCTCTTCCCCTCCCTAAAATCAATAAAAAAGTTAAAGTTTCTTATCAGTGGTGGTGATTGGGGGTGGTTGTTGGTAGTTTGAAGGTAAGAAGTTAAGCACTTTATAATTTTAAATTGCTGCTAAATTGATTGTGGAACTTGGGCCCAATTTCTATCTGTTAAAATAATTTTTAAAAATATTTTTCTTGATTGATTTTAGAGTGAGGAAGGGAGAGGGAGAGAGATAGAAACATCAGTGAGAGAGAACATCAATTGGCTGCCTCCTGCACGCCCCCCATGGGGGATCAGCCCACAACCTGGGCATGTGCCCTGACCAGGAATCGAACCTGCAAACCTCTTGGTGCAGGGGTCGATGCTCAACCATGGAGCCACACCGGCCTGGCTGTTAAAATAATTTTTGTCTTCTATCACCATGCTAGATAGTTTTTCACCATACAGCCTACTGAATAAATTTGTTAATCCTCTTTAGAGAAATTTTAAACAAATTTCTTTTCGTTTATTATTATTATTTTTCTGTGTCTATGAGTTTACTTTTTTGCTTAATCCTTCACCTTTTTCACCCAGTCCCCCAACCACCCCATTGACAGCTATCAGTCTGTTCTCTGTATCTTTGAGTCTGTTTCCTTTTTTTTTGTTGTTGTTAATTTATTTTGTTCATTATATTCCACATATAAGTGAAATCATATGGTACTTGTCTTTCTCTTATTTCACTTAGCATAATACTTTCCAGGTCTATCCATGCTGTTGGAAAAGGTAAGATTTCCTTTTTTTTTTTTCAGCTAGGTAATATTCCCTGTGTAAATGTACCACAGCTCTTTAATCCACTAATCTAGCTACCGAGGGGCACTTGGGCTGCTTCCAAATCTTGGCTGTTGTAATAATGCTGCAGTGAACGTAGGGGTGCATATATTCTTCGAATTAGTGTTCAGGTACACTCCCAGAAGTGGAATTGCTGAGTTCTAAGGTAGTTCCATTTTTAATTTTTTGAGGTAACTCCACACTGCTTTCCACAGTGGCTGTACACCAGTCTGCATTCCCACCAATAGTACACCAGGATTCCCTTTTCTCCATGTCCTCACCAGCACTTGTGTTTTACTTTTTTTTTTTTTGATAGAGTGGAGGGAGGAGGGAAGGGGTGGGAGAGCAAGAGAAAGAAGCAAACATTGATGTGTCCATGTGGATTGGTTGCCTCCCGCAGGACCCTGCCTCCCGCATGAATGACCCTGACGAGGGTTGGGGATGGAGTCTGCAACCCAGGTACATGCCCTTGACTGGGAA